AATTTGGTGCATTTTCTTTAAATCCGCCAATCACAGTTAAGTAAGGGATTGCTGGATGTATGCAATATGTACGACATCACGATCAAGCCCCTGGGAGTGCCATCGCTCTGGGCCAGCCCCTGAGGGAGCCATCGCCCCCGGCTGGGCCCCTTTCGGTGCCACCACACTAGGGAGGGTCCCTGGGGGCGCCACCGCCCCTGGAAAGGCCTCTGGTGGCTCTAACGCCCCTGGGAGATTTCCTAGGGTCGCTGAGGCCCCAGGGAGAACCCCTGGAGGCTTTCCTGCCACTGTAACGGTCGCGAAGGGAGGAGCTGCCCTTGGGAGGGCCCCTGGGGGAGCAGATTCGCCTGGGAGGGCCCCTGGTGACGCCACCGCTCCTGGAAGAACGCCTGGCGGTGCCATAGCCTCTAGGAGGGACCCTGCATTCCTTAGAATGACCTCTGGAGACACCACCACTGGAAGGTCCCCTGGCGAAGCCACCGTCCCTGGTAGAGACTCTGGTGGCACTGCTGACCTTAAGGAGGACCTCTAGGTGCGCATTTGCCTCTGGGAGGTCCCCTGGCAGCAGATAGTTTTCACTATTTAGAACTCTGAGAGATATGAAGTTAAATAAATACACCACCCATCGCAATTCCAGTGTTATCACATCCTGAGCAATGAAAAGGTGAATACATATCCAACAGGGAAACATAAGTTGGGGTGTTGTGCTGACTGGCTGGTCTGTTCTCCTATTGGCTGTAATTTGGTGCATTCTTATTTTAATCCGCCAATCACAGTTAAGTAAGGGATTGCTGGACGTATGAATATCAACGACATCACGATCAAGCCCGTGGGAGTGCCGTCGCTTTGTGACGGCCCCTGGGGGCCCCATTGCCCCTAGCAGGGCCCCTTGGGGTGCCATCGCCCCAGGGAGGGTCCCTGGGGGCGCCACCACCCCTGAAAAGGCCCAGGAGGCACCAACACCCCTGGGAGAGCTCCTAAGACTGCTGAGACCCCAGGGAGGGTCACTGGGGGCTTTTCCGCCACTGGAAGAGTCCATGAGGGAGCAGCTGCCCTTGGATGGGCCCCTGGGAGCACAACTCTTCCTGGGAGGGCCCCTGGGGCACCACCGCTGCTGGGAGAACGCCTGGATGTGCCACTCCTCTTGGAGATCCCGCTGTCATTAGGATGACCCCTGGGGGCACCGCAACTGGAATGTCCCCTGGCGGCGCCACTGCCCCTGGGAGAGCATCAGGTGGCAATGCTGATCTTAAGGAAGATCGCTATGAGCAACGTTGGCTCTGGGAGGTGCCCTGGTGACAGATGGTTTTACACTAATTTGAACTCTGAGAGACATGACATTAAATAAATAAACCACCCATCACATTTCCAGTGTGATCACATCCTGAACAATGAAATGGTGAATAAATAAATATCCAACAGGAAAACATAAGTTGGGGTGTTGTGCTGACTGGCTGGTCTGTTCTCCTATTGGCTGTAATTTGGTGCATTTTCCTTTTAATCCTCCAATCACAGTTAAGTAAGGGATTGCTGGACGTAAGCAATTTTTACAACATCACGATCAAGCCCCTGGAAACGCTGTCGCCCTGGGACAGCCCCTGCGAACGCTGTCGCCTTGGGACAGCCCCTGGGGTCGCCATCGCCCCTGGTTCGGCCCCTTTGGGTGCCACCGCCCCTGGAAAGGCCTCTGGAGGCACCAACACCCCTGGGAGAGTTCCTGGGGTCGCTGAGACCGCAGGGAGGGCCCCTGGAGGGTTTGCCGCCACTGGAAGGGTCCGTGAGGGAGGATCTGCTCTTGGGAGGGCCCCTGGGGGCACCACCGCTCCTGCAAGATCGCCTGGCGGTGCCACCGCCTCTTTGAGGGCCCCCCTCCGTCCCTAGAATGACCCTGGACACACCGCACTGGAAGGTCTGGCTGGCGCCCCGAGACCACTCCCTTGTGTGGAAGTAGCACCGAAAGCCCAGCCGGGCAGCGTGCGCGCCCTCAGGGGAAGCTGACCCGGAAATGGCACTCCCAGAAGCGATCGTGAAGTCGTATATTGCCATCCCGCTGATCGCCGCAACAGATTAGCGATTGAAAATGCCAAATGCAACCAACAAACAATTATTCAATCAGCACAACAACATTTTCCTGTTGAACATTATTCACCATTCATTGTTCAAATTCTGTGGAAATGCGATAGGCGCTATATTTATTTAAGTCATATGTCTCCTGCAGGTCTGAATTAGTGAAAACCAACTGCCGCCAGGGGACCTCCCAGAGCCAACGTTGCTCATAGCGATCGTCCTTAAGGTCAGCATTGCCACCTGATGATCTCCCAGGGGCGGTGACACCGCCAGCAGACATTCCAGTGGCAGTGCCCCCAGGGGTCATCCTAGGAGCAGCGAAGATCTCCAAGAGGCGATGGCACATCTAGGAGTTCTCCCAGCAGTGGTGGTGCCCCAGGGGCTAGAATTTGGTGCATTTTTTAATTTAATCCACCAATCACAGTTAAGTAAGGGATTGCTGGACGTATGCAATATGAACGATATCACGATCAAACCCTGGGAACGCTGTCGCTTTCTGACGGCCCCTGGTGGCGCCATTGCCCCTAGCAGGGCCCCTTGGGGTGCCATCGCCCCAGGGAGGGTCCCTGGGGGCGCCACCACCCCTGAAAAGGCCCAGGAGGCACCAACACCCCTGGGAGAGCTCCTAAGACTGCTGAGGCCCCAGGGAGGGCCCCTGGGGGCTTTTCCGCCACTGGAAGAGTCCATAAGGGAGCAGCTGCCCTTGGATGCGCCCCTGGGGGGCAACTCTTCGTGGGAGGGTCCCTGGGGCACCACCGCTGCTGGGAGAACGCCTGGATGTGCCACTTCTCTTGGAGATCCCGCTGTCATTAGGATGACCCCTGGGGGCACCGCAACTGGAATGTCCCCTGGCGGCGCCACCGCCCCTGGGAGGGCATCAGGTGGCAATGCTGATCTTAAGGAAGATCGCTATGAGCAACATTGGCTCTGGGAGGTCCCCTGGTGACAGATGGTTTTACACTAATTTGAACTCTGAGAGATATGACATTAAATAAATAAACCACCCGTCACATTTCGAGTGTGATCACATCCTGAACAATGAAATGGTGAATAAATAAATATCCAACAGGAAAACATAAGTTGGGGTGTTGTGCTGACTGTCTGGTCTGTTCTCCTATTGGCTGTAATTTGGTGCATTTTCTTTAAATCCGCCAATCACAGTTAAGTAAGGGATTGCTGGATGTATGCAATATGTACGACATCACGATCAAGCCCCTGGGAGTGCCATCGCTCTGGGCCAGCCCCTGAGGGAGCCATCGCCCCCGGCTGGGCCCCTTTCGGTGCCACCACACTAGGGAGGGTCCCTGGGGGCGCCACCGCCCCTGGAAAGGCCTCTGGTGGCACTAACGCCCCTGGGAGATTTCCTAGGGTCGCTGAGGCCCCAGGGAGAACCCCTGGAGGCTTTCCTGCCACTGTAACGGTCGCGAAGGGAGGAGCTGCCCTTGGGAGGGCCCCTGGGGGAGCAGATTCGCCTGGGAGGGCCCCTGGTGACGCCACCGCTCCTGGAAGAACGCCTGGCGGTGCCATAGCCTCTAGGAGGGACCCTGCATTCCTTAGAATGACCTCTGGAGACACCACCACTGGAAGGTCCCCTGGCGAAGCCACCGTCCCTGGTAGAGACTCTGGTGGCACTGCTGACCTTAAGGAGGACCTCTAGGTGCGCATTTGCCTCTGGGAGGTCCCCTGGCAGCAGATAGTTTTCACTATTTAGAACTCTGAGAGATATGAAGTTAAATAAATACACCACCCATCGCATTTCCTGTGTTATCACATCCTGAGCAAGAAAAGGTGAATACATATCCAACAGGAAAACATAAGTTGGGGTGTTGTGCTGACTGGCTGGTCTGTTCTCCTATTGGCTGTAATTTGGTGCATTCTTATTTTAATCCGCCAATCACAGTTAAGTAAGGGATTGCTGGACGTATGAATATCAACGACATCACGATCAAGCCCCTGGGAGTGCCGTCGCTCTGTGACGGCCCCTGGGGGCCCCATTGCCCCTAGCAGGGCCCCTTGGGGTGCCATCGCCCCAGGGAGGGTCCCTGGGGGCGCCACCACCCCTGAAAAGGCTCAGGAGGCACCAACACCCCTGGGAGAGCTCCTAAGACTGCTGAGACCCCAGGGAGGGTCACTGGGGGCTTTTCCGCCACTGGAAGAGTCCATGAGGGAGCAGCTGCCCTTGGATGGGCCCCTGGGAGCACAACTCTTCCTGAGAGGGTCTCTGGGCAACGGGAGAACGCCTACGTGCTACCCTGGGACCTGGCTAGGAACCAAAATGCAACTGAATGTCCCTCAAGGGTGCCACTGCCCTGGTGGGAGCATCAGGTAGCCGACTGGCAGATCGCTATGAGCAATGCTAAGCCTGGGAGGTGCCCAGATAGACATTTTACACTACTCTGAACTTTGAGAGACATGACATTAAATAAATAAACCACCCATCGATTAGCATCACATCCTGAACAAATAAATGGTAAATAATATCCAACAGAAAATAAGCAAAAGTAGTTCTGGCTACCACTTCATTGGCTGTAATTGCATATTCCCTTTAATCCTCCAATCACAGTTAAGTGGGCGGATTGCTGGACGTAGCAATTTTTACAACATCACGATCAAGCCCCTGGAAACGCTGTCGCCCTGGGACAGCCCCTGCGAACGCTGTCGCCTTGGGACAGCCCCTGGGGTCGCCATCGCCCCTGGTTGGGCCCCTTTGGGTGCCACCGCCCCTGGAAAGGCCTCTGGAGGCACCAACACCCCTGGGAGAGTTCCTGGGGTCGCTGAGACCGCAGGGAGGGCCCCTGGAGGGTTTGCCGCCACTGGAAGGGTCCGTGAGGGAGGATCTGCTCTTGGGAGGGCCCCTGGGGGCACCACCGCTCCTGCAAGATCGCCTGGCGGTGCCACCGCCTCTTTGAGGGCCCCCCTCCGTCCCTAGAATGACCCCTGGACACACCGCCACTGGAAGGTCCCCTGGCGGCGCCCCCAGGGACCCTCCCTTGTGTGTTGGCACCGAAAGGGGCCCAGCCGGGCGGCGATGGCACCTCAGGGGCTGGCCCAGAGCGATGGCACTCCCAGGGGCTTGATCGTGATGTCGTACATATTGCATACATCCAGCAATCCCTTACTTAACTGTGATTGGCGGATTTAAAGAAAAAGCACCAAATTACAGCCAATAGGAGAACAGACCAGCCAGTCAGCACAACACCCCAACTTATGTTTTCCTGTTGGATATTTATTCACCATTTCATTGTTCAGGATGCAATCATACTGGAAATGCGATGGGCGCTGTATTTATTTTACGTCATATGTCTCACAGTTCTAATTAGTGAAAAACCAACTGCCGCCAGGGGACCTCCCAGAGCCAACGTTGTTCGTAGCGATCTTCCTTAAGGTCAGCATTGCCACCTGATGCTCTCCCAGGGGCGGTGACACCGCCAGCAGACATTCCAGTGGCAGTGCCCCCAGGGGTCATCCTAGGAGCAGCGGGGATCTCCAAGAGGCGATGGCACATCTAGGAGTTCTCCCAGCAGTGGTGGTGCCCCAGGGGCTAGAATTTGGTGCATTTTTTATTTTAATCCACCAATCACAGTTAAGTAAGGGATTGCTGGACGTATGCAATATGAACGACATCACGATCAAGCCCCTGGGAACGCTGTCGCCTTGTGACGGCCTCTGGTGGCGCCATTGTCCCTAGCAGGGCCCCTTGGGGTGCCATCGCCCCAGGGAGGGTCCCTGGGGGCACCACCACCCCTGAAAAGGCCCAGGAGGCACCAACACCCCTGGGAGAGCTCCTAAGACTGCTGAGGCCCCAGGGAGGGCCCCTGGGGGCTTTTCTGCCACTGGAAGAGTCCATAAGGGAGCAGCTGCCCTTGGATGGGCCCCTGGGGGGGCAACTCTTCCTGGGAGGGTCCCTGGGGCACCACCGCTGCTGGGAGAACGCCTGGATGTGCCACTCCTCTTGGAGATCCCGCTGTCATTAGGGGTGTGACCCTGGGGGGTGCCGCAGCTGGGAATGTCTGGCGGCTGCACCCTGGGAGGAGCATCCCAGGTGTGTGCTGATCTGGAAAGATGCTTTCTCCGACAACATTGGCTCCAAGTCCCTGGTGACTAGATGGTTTTACACTGTTATACTCCTTGGGAGATGGCCTTCATCAGCCAACCCACCGTCATTTCAGTGTGATCACATGCAGACAATGAAATGGTGAATAAAATAAATATCAACAGGAAAACGCCAGTTGGGGAATTGATGTTGCTGACTGGCTGGTCTATTCTCTCTTAAACCTTAATTTGATTTTCTTTAAATCCGCCAATCACAGTTAAGTAAGGGATTGCTGGATGTATGCAATATGTACGACATCACGATCAAGCCCCTGGGAGTGCCATCGCTCTGGGCCAGCCCCTGAGGGAGCCATCGCCCCCGGCTGGGCCCCTTTCGGTGCCACCACACTAGGGAGGGTCCCTGGGGGCGCCACCGCCCCTGGAAAGGCCTCTGGTGGCACTAACGCCCCTGGGAGATTTCCTAGGGTCGCTGAGGCCCCAGGGAGAACCCCTGGAGGCTTTCCTGCCACTGTAACGGTCGCGAAGGGAGGAGCTGCCCTTGGGAGGGCCCCTGGGGGAGCAGATTCGCCTGGGAGGGCCCCTGGTGACGCCACCGCTCCTGGAAGAACGCCTGGCGGTGCCATAGCCTCTAGGAGGGACCCTGCATTCCTTAGAATGACCTCTGGAGACACCACCACTGGAAGGTCCCCTGGCGAAGCCACCGTCCCTGGTAGAGACTCTGGTGGCACTGCTGACCTTAAGGAGGACCTCTAGGTGCGCATTTGCCTCTGGGAGGTCCCCTGGCAGCAGATAGTTTTCACTATTTAGAACTCTGAGAGATATGAAGTTAAATAAATACACCACCCATCGCATTTCCTGTGTTATCACATCCTGAGCAAGAAAAGGTGAATACATATCCAACAGGAAAACATAAGTTGGGGTGTTGTGCTGACTGGCTGGTCTGTTCTCCTATTGGCTGTAATTTGGTGCATTCTTATTTTAATCCGCCAATCACAGTTAAGTAAGGGATTGCTGGACGTATGAATATCAACGACATCACGATCAAGCCCCTGGGAGTGCCGTCGCTTTGTGACGGCCCCTGGGGGCCCCATTGCCCATAGCAGGGCCCCTTGGGGTGCCATCGCCCCAGGGAGGGTCCCTGGGGGCACCACCACCACTGAAAAGGCCCAGGAGGCACCAACACCCCTGGGAGAGCTCCTAAGACTGCTGAGGCCCCAGGGAGGGTCACTGGGGGCTTTTCTGCCACTGGAAGAGTCCATGAGGGAGCAGCTGCCCTTGGATGGGCCCCTGGGAGCGCAACTCTTCCTGGGAGGGCCCCTGGGGCACCACCGCTGCTGGGAGAACGCCTGGATGTGCCACTCCTCTTGGAGATCCCGCTGTCATTAGGATGACCCCTGGGGGCACCGCAACTGGAATGTCCCCTGGCGGCGCCACCGCCCCTGGGAGAGCATCAGGTGGCAATGCTGATCTTAAGGAAGATCGCTATGAGCAACGTTGGCTCTGGGAGGTCCCCTGGTGACAGATGGTTTTACACTAATTTGAACTCTGAGAGACATGACATTAAATAAATAAACCACCTATCACATTTCCAGTGTGATCACATCCTGAACAATGAAATGGTGAATAAATAAATATCCAACAGGAAAACATAAGTTGGGGTGTTGTGCTGACTGGCTGGTCTGTTCTCCTATTGGCTGTAATTTGGTGCATTTTCCTTTTAATCCTCCAATCACAGTTAAGTAAGGGATTGCTGGACGTAAGCAATTTTTACAACATCACGATCAAGCCCCTGGGAACGCTGTCGCCCTGGGACAGCCCCTGCGAATACTGTTACCTTGGGACAGCCCCTGGGGTAGCCATCGCCCTTGGTTGGGCCCCTTTGGGTGCCACCGCCCCTGGAAAGGCCTCTGGAGGCACCAACACCCCTGGGAGAGCTCCTGGGGTCGCTGAGACCGCAAGGAGGGCCCCTGGAGGCTTTGCCGCCACTGGAAGGGTCCGTGAGGGAGGATCTGCTCTTGGGAGGGCCCCTGGGGGCACCACCGCTCCTGCAAGATCGCCTGGCGGTGCCACCGCCTCTTTGAGGGCCCCCCTCCGTCCCTAGAATGACTCCTGGACACACCGCCACTGGAAGGTCCCCTGGCGGCGCTCCCAGGGACCCTCCTGGTGACACTAAGGGTCCTACTTACAATGGCCCCGAGGAGCCGTCAGCAAGCAGCAGCGCTCCCAGGGAAGCGATGTGACTCTACTCGTCAGCAATCCTGCTGGTGAATCACCAGAGTACAACCAGATGTTTCGACAGATATGTGTCACATTCTCCAGGATCAATGATAACACTAAATCATAGGTGTAAGTTTATCTCAGAGTTCTAAATAGTGAAAACTAACTGCCGCCAGGGGACCTCCCAGAGGCAAAGACGCACCAAGGGGTCCTCCTCAAGGACAGCAGTGCCACCAGAGGCACCTATCTGTCCTCAGTTGGAACCCTTTATTTATTAATGACATATTCGTATGTTACCGCTGTACTACCAACTTACGTACTATTAATAAATATAAATGATTGGTAGAAACAGCCAGAGAACGTGTAGCGTAGTGTTTGTGGCCAGTAGTCAAATTTATCTTTGCTAGGCTCACATACACGTGTACAAAGAGGAGAATAATACTTTAGGGTTAATTTACACATGACGTTCCAGTTAGGTTTGAAAATAGACAATTTAGACCGATTTATTGATTTGTATCAGGAAATAATCACATGTACAATAAAAATACATTATGGATACTAGAGTTGAGCACTTGGAGGTTTTATTAATACATTATACTTGGAAACAAAAGAAACAATATTTGTAGTACACTACCGTACAGTAAAGTACACATCAGGGTATGAACTACAGATACAAGTTTATTATATAGAGCTAGTAGGAGCACAGATACAAGTTTATTATATAATGCATAATATATCAGTGCTATTAGGAGTTGAGATACGAGTTTATTATGCAGGGTATAGTACATAATATAATAGACCTATTTGGAGTTCAGATACAAATTTATTATGTTATACATGATACACAAGAAGCTACATGTATTTGTATTGTGGTCCTCAGTTTAAATGTCTGTCTAACTGGGTAAAGTAGGTGTGTATATGTAGAGTTAATATAAGTCTAGCACTTTTAGGTATTAAAATGTGTAGTTAGGTAGATATTCATAAATATCGTTATACAAGTTTACAGATTTTTGTTTCACCACTGTAGCGTACTGTAAGTAGCCAGTTGTCAATTCTCTTTAGTTGTCTATTTTCTCTTTGTTTGGGCACACAAACATACGTACATGTAGATATATCACACTCAGGAGTGAGGTAGAATAGAAACTCACAATGCGCTTTCTGTATATATATTGTTGTACAGTGCAGTGCTTAGGAGTGACTAGGTGAGGAGTAGCTTGCTCAGAGGTCCTGAAGGGCAATATATGGCAATATACTCTCATTGATGTCATTAATGTAAATCACAAACAGGGTGGGTCCAAGGACAGACCCTTGTGGTACTTCACTGAGAAAATTTTTCCAATTTGAATTTACCGTTTATGATGACCATTCTTTGCCTGTCTTGGAGCCAACTGAAAAGTCACCTTGTGCCTGGATCTTAGAGACTAATGGTGCATGTGGGACTTGTCACACTTCTTAGAAAAACCCATATACAACACATCTAATGGTAGACCTTGGTCCACTTAACCTGTTACCATTTGAAGGATCCATATACAACACATCTATTGGTAGACCTTGGTCCACTTAACCTGTTAACATTTGAAGGAAAGCGATTGTATTTGTCAGGCAGGATTTTCTCTCCATGAAACCATGTAATGATGCATTGATAAGATTGTGCTCAGTCATGTGCTGGATGATGGCATCCCTCAATATTTAATCCAATAATTTTCATATACGTACTGTACCATATGTGGTGTTAGGCTGATCGGTCTGTAGTACTGATGTACTTTTCCTACTCTTCTTGTATACTTGTGTCATGGTCACAGTTGCACGGCTAGTATTCACCTCAACACTTACTGTAATTATGTATTCATATTTTGCTCCACCGTCCCCAAAACATGTGTGAAACTAATGAGTTACCCCTAGAGAGAGAATTGTTTTCTCTCTGCCTGAAGTGTCCACCTTTAATGTAAATTTTAAGTTATGCTATAACAGTATGAGTATCCATGAGTCAGATATATTTACCCCGAGCTGAGGCATTCAAGGTGTATCGAGTAGTGTATGTTGAAAGCTTCATCTATCTTTGGTTGTAATGTAAATTTTTTAACAAGGAATAGCCCATCCGGGCACAGGTCATCGACCCACAACAGGGCCTAGGGGGAGAAAATATGAGTAAAAGAAATTAAAAATAGAAAAGAAAAAATATATATTAATCTACACCACAAAGATGCCAGAAAACAAGCTTTTTGAAGTGAGTCA